TATGGTCTCTGTTGCAACTACTTGACTATTCTAACACAATACAAAAACAGAATGGGCATAGCTGTGTTCCAATAAAAGTTTATTTACAAAAACAAGTATTTTATTAACTTCTATATGACTTCAGCTCAGGCCCACATCTTAACTGTAACCTTGAGACCCTGCTGCAGAACCACTAGTTCAGCCACTCCTAGATTCCTGACCCTCAGAAACTGAGATGTTTGTTGTTTTAAACTAAGTGTTGGCATAACACAAGGTCTTTCCACCTCTATTCCCAACACACATGCTTTATTCACATCTTTTATTCTCCTCCAGTCTTTCAGTTCTGGTCTGAGGTTTTTTTAGTTCCTTGATTATACTGAAGGCACTCCTGCCTCAGACTTTTGCTCTTGTTATTCTCTCTGCCTGGAATGCTTTTCCCTCCCAGATTATCTACTTTGTTAGATTATTTCCTTCTCATTAAGGCCTTTTCAGACCATCCTGTTTACAAGTGCAACCCTCCTTCCTCCCAATATTCTCTATTTCCTTTCCCTCCTTTATTTTTCTTCATAGCATTTACTGTCACCTAACATGTAGTGTAGTGCCTAAGGCATTTAACTGCTCAGCAGAAGGCTGGTGGTTCAAACCCACCAGCCACTCTTCGGAAGGAGTTGGCCAATCTACTTCCGTAATAATACCACCTCGGAAATCCAAGGAGGGGTCGCTATGAGTTGGGTCCAACTCGACGGCAGTGAGTTTGGTTTGGTTTTTTTAATATACATTTTACTTGTGTTATTATCTGTCTTCTTACATTGGACTGTAATCCTCATGAGGGCAGGGGATCTACTTTGTTTACTGCAATATCCCAAACAGTACCTAGGATATAGCAGATTCTCAATAAATTGTGTGTTAAATGAAAGAAGTTACTTATCCCTTCAACTAGCTGCCAACTCCTTAAAGGGACAAATATCTTATTTGACATAGCACACCCATTCTCTTGCACAGAAACAAAAATGTTAAATTTTACTTTGAAGAATTTTAAACATGTGAATAACACAACCAGGTGTTTTTGAAAGACTACTGGGGTGGGGGAATGAGGGAGGCATTATTGGTGCTTATCCCAATACTCTATACTCTATACTGTCCATAGGAAATTTCATCTGTACCACTGCTTATTACTACTTATATACACAAGACTAGCAAAGATATCCTCATCTGAATCTTTTCTATGAGCTCCAAGCTTATGCATCCAACTTCATGCTTGACATCTGCAGGATATCACAAAGACACTTCCAGCTCAGCACGGCCTAATTTGGACTTTTTTTTCCCCTTCTTCCACCATGATCTAAATCTGGCCAGTTGTGGAAGGCACCTTGACAACACTTCCTTATCACCAGTATTCAGTCCAAGTCCCAATCTGCTGTCTCCCAGCATCCTGGCTCCATTGAAAACCACCCTCCACAACACAGCCACTGATCTCATTGGATCACATCCTCTGCTTAAAATTCAGTAACTTCCCATTGCTCCTAAGAGTAAAAGGAAATAGCACAGACTTCAGTGCTGCATGGGCTGGTTTCTTCCCAGTTCCTCTCATAACCACACATAGCCACTCTCTCTATCCCAGATGTATTCTATCAAGCCAGACCCCCAAGGCCCTGAGAACTTTACACATGCTGATCCATCAGCTGCAATATCCTTTTTTTTCCTTTACCCAGGTATCACCTACCTTTCTTGTTCTAGGTTGGCTCACACATAGTTCCCTAGTTGCCTTCCCTGACTAAATCAAATTAATCAACCTCCCTTTTAACATTAACATTTAATGTGATTATTTGGTCAGTGTTTCCCTTACTTACTAGTCTAGAAGACCAAGCTGGCTCTATTATCACTCACCATGGTGGCTCTACTGTTCAGCAAAGCAAGCACAAAGTAGGCACTATTTGTAGGAAATGAACAACGGAGACTAGGGTAGAGTTTTAGGAGGTCATTTTCAATACTCCAGGAAAGAGCTAAGGAGCTTGCTGCACTAAGGTAGTGAGTGCCATACGGTTGGACACGTAAAACAAGCTCTCAAGGAAATAATCAAGAGGGGTTTTCTGGTTGGTGAAAGTAACCAATGTACATGGGAGGGCAACATGTTCCTTTTTGGGACACAGAAGCTTCATATTAGGATCTCTCCCAGACCTCGCCCTATGTGTCTCTTCATTGTGCTGATTCTTATTTGAATCTTTGACAATAAAGGTGCAGTTGGAGAACTGTTATAAGGAAATGAATATTCTGCGTCCAAACTCCATTCAGGAGTCCCTGAGTGGTGCAAATAGTAATGTGCTTGGCTCCTATCCAAAAGGCTGGCGGTTCAAGTCCACCCAAAGGTGCCTAAGTTTGGTCATCTACTTCCCAAAAATCAGCCACTGAAAATCCTATGGAGCACAGTTATGACTCTGGTACGTGGGATCAAATTGACATAATGACAACTGATTTTTAACTCCATTCATCTAAGACCAGGGGAAGCAAGTACACCAACCACCATTTCCAATGAAAAAAGGCAACTCACTATTGACACAACCTTTTCAGCAGCTTTGCAATGTTTTCTCTGACAACCTGCTGGACCCTCCATGACGTGGCAAGCTCAGACCTCTAGTCGAGTTGACGTATTTCATATTCATTTAAGTCATGGGTCTCCAATACATCCAATCCATGTCTTAAAACCAATCCTCAATCTTAAACATCACCAATTTCACCAATCCCCAAGTATCTATAGCATTCCATACGCTAACAAAGCAACTTTGTTGTTGATAGTTTATCAATATATTCCCACATATAAAACCAAAAAAAAAAAAAAAAAACCTCACTGCTGTCACATATACCATCACGTTACTTTTGCTAAAATGTTTAAAAATAAATAACCACAAATAATATATTAAGTGACTAAAATATGCCAGGCCTTGCTCTGGGGATTCATACTTTAGTAATTAAGAGAATTAGAGGTCTCAATCAAACGATTATTTCAAACACTTGCAAGAAACACATAAATCTAAATTAGGCTAATTGTAAAGATGTATTTAACATGATTTAACAGGATTCCACTGTCATTAGGGCACATCAAAGTGCCTGAGGTCCTGACACCTCTACCTTCAGGTTAAACTCACTGCCATGGAGTCGGAGTCAACTGGGTTTCCGAGGCGGTATCATTACGCAAGTAGATTGCCCAACCTTCCTTCTGAGGACAGCCTTCTGGTTAGCAGTCAAATGCCTTAGGCACTATGCCACCTGAGCTCCTTTAGGTTAGTAGAATAAAAAAGCCAGTGAGTTTATCAATATTTGCAGATTCCATATTTGTCCATTTGCCTTTGATGTTACCCTAAAAATCAACATTCACAGAGCTCTATCATGTGTGAACATGGAAGCAAAAATTTGAGTGTTCCAACATTTGTTCCCTGTTGAACAAGGTGATTGATGGTCTGCCATTTCAACTCTCATACTGTCAAGTCTTTTCTTGTGGTCTCTTTAGTGCTATACTCCTTTCATTTTTGCATTTTGACTTGTTTGAAATGGTCCCCCACACAAAGGAGCTCTGGTAGTATAGTGCCTAAGGCACTTGACTGCTAACCAGAAGGCTGGTGGTTCAAACCCACCAGCCACTCCTTGGAAGGAAGATGAGGCAATCTACTTCCATAGTGATACTGCCTTGGGTTTCAAGGAGGGGTCGCTCCGAGTCAGGTCTGACTTGACAGCACATAACACATAGTTCTTAGTGTCCACTCTTCCTAAGCACCTTGCAGTTGTGCCTTGCAGAGAAAAATACGTTAAGCTTTGCTCAGGCACGATTATATTATTGGTATTCATCAAAATGTATTCAATACCAAAACAATCCCAGCTGTCTAGGTCCATAGTTGATTTCAAGTCAACTCATGGTGACTCATATGCAGAAAACTGTTTCAACAAGGGATTTTCAACAGCTGATTTACTGGAAGCAGAATGCCAGGCCTTTCTTCAAAGGCACCTCTGGGTAGATGCAACATTCAGTGGGGCATGGAGAACAATAAAAGACAAAAAATGAGACCCAACTCATCCAACTGGGGTGTAAGGTATCAAAGAACAGAGAACAGAGATTTAACTAGTAAGACTGGAATGCATATTTGAAACTGTCTACAAGGCATCTGGTTGAAGAATTCTAATATGCAATTAAAGTTTTGGAGCAGGATGATACTCACCCAAAGGCTTGATGCTAATTTTAGTATCCTCTGAAGCAAAAAGAAGTGATCCAATATTCAGCACCTATGTTCATGAACTGTTCTAGGCACTCAGGATTACATTTACAAACTGCCATGAAAAAATGTAGAGACTATCAAGAGAATTTTGCATTTTAATATATACAGCTAGACATGAAATTGTGCTTCAGTATCATTTTCTATGTATCATTACATGTTTTTACTTAAGGTATTTGTAAAAGCTATATATCCTAGAAAAATTTCTTCTAGCTAGTGTAGTGAATTACCTGGTACGGCTTTCCTAGCCATAAGTCTTTGTAAACTCTGGTGGAATTTGCTGTGAACTGAGGGGCTCCTAATTGTAAGTTATCCACCTGGGGTATTTCTGTTGGGAGTGACACAAAGCAATGTTCTGGGAGGTTCCCTCTCTCAGGTGCTTAGAATTCTGATGTCATGACTGGCTAGCTTGGCCACTAGGCCAGGCTCAAAAGGCGGCCTCCTAGAGGCAGTTCCGACTACTGGCTGAGGACCCGCTGCTGAAAGAGGCACGCACTGCTGGGAGAGAGTCTGTGAAAGACTGTTGGCTGAGAGAGAATGAGTGTTTTCCCTGAACTTGAACTGTAGCCTGCTGCTTCCCTAATAAACCCCATAATCTGTGAGTTCTGTGTGGCCACTGCAGTGAATTATTGAACCCAGAAGAAAGGTGAGGAGGTCAGAAGATGCGGCCTCCTTGCCCTTTTGGCACTGACAGAATCAAAAGAAAGCCAGCATCATGTAAATAGAACATCTCTAAACAAAATGAGACCAAAGCATAACAGACTATAATGTTTTTTTATTCACCAATAAATTAAAAGTCCATTCTTAGATGTTTCTTCTTTTTCTTATATGGCGCATTTGTTTTATTGCTGAGCAAAGCCTTGTAAGGAGGCTCCACCTAGTCCTCAGACTCAGATCCGTCTTCATCTTGACTAATCTGGAAATAACGAAGCTCGTAAGTCTCCTTGTCAGATGCAACCACTCGAAGCCAATCACGAAGATTGTTCTTCTTAAGGTATTTCTTGGTAAGGTATTTCAAATACCTACAAAACAAAAACATTAATTTCATTAAGAAATGCAATCCCTACTACATAAAGGCTTATATATGGAACATAGGTATTTTCATATCCATCGTTTGAGTCCCTAATGCCCTCCAAAATCACTTTTTCATTTGTGCTAAGCTTTGCACAAAGTTTCTAAGAATACATTATAGTTAGTCCCTCAAACTCAACTGAAATCAATTTATGCTTTACCAAATGAATTTACTGCCGTATGTCCCGAAAATAAGCCAATACTCTTTATATTGGAAACTAATATGTAGAAGAGCAATGGTATCTTCCACTTCATACTGACTGCACACTATTCCCACTCTTTATTTACTGACATGATTCCAAAGACAAGGTCATTAAACAAAACCAGTATAACACAAAAATGGAGAATGACATTAGATCACAAAACAAAGGATGACCACATCATTACATAACTGCCATACCACTGAGAATCTCGGCCCAGCCAAGCTGACACATAACCTTAACAATCACAGCCAGTGGTTCTTTCAACTTGTACACTGGCATCATTACTGTCAGATGTATGTCAGTGCACAAAACAGCCAGACAGATGACAGTTGATAAATGAGGTTTATTTTTTAATTAGATGATACGATTTTATTCTTCAGATACATTATGCAGTCTTCCTGCCCTTTTTAATGCTGTTCCCTCTGATTCACATAGCATTACACTGACAAAACTATTCTCGTGTCAGCTTCTCAGCATGTCTGTAAGATCTACGAGGACAAGGATTTATCTGAAAATTCTAAGTTATTCTCGATATTCTTAGGCATCTTGGAATTCTTAGTGTTAACTTCACAGCTGACATATACTGCTACCACCTTAGTCCATCTCTCACCTGAACCACCTATCACAACAGGTTAAGTCTCCAGTTTCCAAAAGTCCACCTATCCTTTCTAGCCACATTACACAAAGTCAAAAGCACCCCCATCCAATGGCTTGAGGATGCCCCCTCACACTTGACCTCATCTTATCACTCCTCCCATTCCCAAAATGCACTACATTCCAGGCACACTGGCCTGTTTACTATTACTTGAATCTGCAAGGCTTTCTGTTCACTCTACCTGGGAGGAGTATTCTTTAATTTGCATGGCTCACTCCTACATTTCATTTGGGTTGAAGCTTTCCCACAACTTTTCATGCCCTCACCACTGACATTACATTTCAATGTCTGTCTTTTCCACTTTAAGGTCTTGCTGACGGATACTTTAGTTTACTGCTTGGTTTCCCAGTCCTACAATAGTACTGCCATGCAGCTAAGTATTTAATACTTCCAATGCTATGAAAGATACAAACAAATTGGATTACAGGGCCAGGAAACCTTGCATACATTCCAGTAAACTTACAACCAGTTTAAACAGACTGCATCCAGTTCCTGAGTAGATTTCAATTCCTATATACCTTAATAAGTTCAAAGTACTTTTGATATATGCTACTGATCCCACCACCATATATTCTTACAGATGAAAAGGGGCTAAATGCTGAGATCACATAGTCTAGAAAATGCTCTACAATGCCACAACTTCCTAAGATAAAAAAACAAGTACCAACCTTTTAGAGAACTGTTTCTCAGAAACAACTGTAATTTTATTCTTGAAGCGTTCAATGTGAACAACATTTCCAAGATTTCCAGTTTTTCCATTGACTTTAACCTTCTCCCGTAGAAATTGTTCCTATTATGAAATAGAAAAAATGCAAAACTAGGGAAGAAAACCCTAGATATTCACTAGGGAAGATACCCTAGGAAGAGAGATTAGGTTAAAATCAAACATCATATAGCTATCAAGGATTCTACTACAATTACAAAAGCAAAGACAGTAGAATAATACTTACAAAATTTCCAGAATCAAAAATTCCATCTTCTACTGGATGAGTAAGGTCCAAATTAAACTTCCAAGTTGACTTCTTAGACTTTTTATCTTTCTGCTACAGAACAGAGTTATAATTTCACGAAAAATTTATTCACTTTACACAAAAATTTCTTTAAAAATCTGTGTTAGTGAAATCAAGTACATTGTGCTGTGAAATTACATGGAAATACTGCAAAATTCTAAAAAACTCAAAAAGACTTAAAATGTATGATAACTATTAGTTTCCTTCATCAAAACGATTTCTAAAAATCCATTTTTTACTATAATTGGAAAAGATTAACGAAAGACCAACCTAATTCCTAAAAAATTTAACCAAGGTAAAAAAAAAAATCGAGACCATCTGCAAGCTACCTTAAAGTTTTTCCATTCATTTCAACAACTCTGTTGGGGCAGAGATTAACTTAGGAGACTCAAATAAATAATCCTTGTCCAATAGAACACATAACCAACCTCACAAGTATCTAGATAGACACGTTGGATATTACGCGATTTTATATCTAACTCACCAATTTTATCTTAATATTTTTGATAAATCGCCGACAAACATCTTACGTTTCAAATGCTCTTTGGACCACGTTTAACACTTTCTGCTTTCTTCACCAATGACTCAATTCGTCTTATGTATCTGCTTGTTGTTGTTATGTGCCGTCGAGTCGGACCCGACTCATAGCGACCCCTCCTTGGGTTTCCGAGGCAGTATCACTACGGAAGTAGATTGCCCCATCTCCCTTCCGAGGTGTGGCTGGTGGGTTTGAACCGCCAACCTTCTGATTAGCAGTCAAGTGCCTTAGGCACTATGCTATATATCTGCTTAGGAGTCACGATTTTACAAAGTATATAAGGTAATGAAAAAAACTTCCCTCAAGTTAGTTTCAAAGTTCTCAAAAACTTTTGTTACCGCGGCCACCTCTGGAAGCCGCGCCCAGGTGTTCCTTCCGGCCCTGGAAACGCCGCCAAACAACAGTCCAATTACCCACCTCCTTTGCTAGTGCAAATAAAAAACCTGGCATCGACTCTACCAGGTCCAAAGGAGTGAAAGAAATGGCTCAGATGCTTCCCTGCGGCCCTGTTCACAGTCATGCCTCACTCTGCCCTACCGCCACGACCATCCATCCTAAGCCATTTCCCGGTCCAGCCCAAACTCCACAGGACCGCATGGCAGCTGACAAGGCACTCAAAAAACAACTCATGATACCAGAATTGTGGTTGTGTTCCTGACCCTAGTCTCCATGTCTACCTATACTTTATCTCAAATGAGACCCCACTCGCCTGCCTATTACTTTGCGGCAAAACATTCCCACCAAGATCAGGACCACTTACCGGCGCCATCTTGAGACTCGGCAACGAGACCAAAGAAAGGGCGGGCGGACACGGCACGTATTTATATCGAAGCGTGCTGCGTCATGCGCCGAGAACGAAAGATCCTGCTTCCTGGAAGAGAACGTAGGGAGGAGCGCGGAGGCATGTAACTCAGGAAACGGGGGCGTGACCAGGGAATGGTGAAGTCTAGTGGGGTCAGGTTTCCTAAGAGCTACGGCCAGAGGCTGTGGCTGGGGTGATTTACCGCCTTCGGCTCTTGGCAGCAGATGCCGTTTGATCCTGGTGGTCTTTGCAGTTACCAAGTGGTTACCCCTAGATACACAGTCCCAAGGATGCAAGACTCATTCCTCAATCATTACTGGCTTTTTTTTTTTTTCCAATCAGGACAACGCAATGTCTCAGGTTGCTTTGGGATCTCCTCTCTTATATTGTAGTTATAATCGTCCGGCAAAGTTTTTTCCACTATGTTTTATCTATTGGGAGTTCTGGTGGCGTAGTGCCTAAGGCATTTGACTGATAACCAGAAGGCTGATGGTTCAAACCCACCAGCCACTCCTTGGCAGGAAGGTTGGGCATACTTCCGTACTGATGTTGTTATGTGCGGTCACATCGGATCCGACTCATAGCGACCCCTCATTGGGTTTCCGAGGCGATATCACTATGGAAGTAGATTGCCCATCCTTCCTTCCGAGGAATGGCTGGTGGGTTTGAGCCGCCAAGCTTCTGGTTATCAGTCAAATGTCTTAGGCGCTACGCTACCAGAGCTCGTAGCGATACTGCCTCGGAAACCCAAGGAGGGATCGCTATAAGTCAGATACGACTCGACGGCAGTAAGTTTCGTTTTTTGTCTGTGGGCTTTGTTTCCTAAATCACTGTTGAGGGAAATCACTGTCTCTGGGAGCCAAAATAAACTGTGTCCTCAAGAGAAAAATCTAAGAGAAAAAACACGTAATACTCATTTCTTATTCACACTTTGGATGTAATTTATTCTGTTTTAGAGTTAACCAAGATGTTTTAAATCATCCAAAACGCTGCCCAGTTAAAACCCATTGGACTTTTGTGGAAAGCTAACCATTAATATGTACAAGGAACTTGAGAATGGAGGTGGGGTGCTGGCAGTTGTGATGAAAAAACCTTTTGACCTTGGAAGGATGTAAGTTGATGTCAGAGTGGAACAGTGCCAGGCCTGTCAATATTATATAATAAGTTTTAATGCAGCTGTTGTTGCTCTTGTTATGTGCGCTCCAGTCGGCCCGGACTCATAGCGACCCCTCCTTGGGTTTCCGAGGTGGTATCACTACAGAAATAGATTGCCCAACCTTCCTTCTGAGGAGTGGCTGGTGGGTTTGAACTGGCAGCCTTCTGGTTAGCAGACAAGTGCCTTAGGCACTACACCACCAGAGCTCTGCAGCTAGTACCTGGGAATCAGGGAGGAGGGAGAGGGGACTTTTAGTGTTAATTTGGAGCATGAGCATAGAAAATGATATCTATATCCTTTATGACAATGACTATAGTGGCAACTACAGTGGCTGCAACAGTGGGCTCAAACATAGCAATGATTGTGAGGATGGTGCAGGACTGGGCCATGTTTCCTTCTGTTGCCACCTCCAGGGCACCAAACAACAAAAAACATACTTTAATAAAGCACACATTATGGAGAGGATGAATAAAACCAGTTGTTGTCAAGTTAATTCCCAGTCATGGTGACCCAATGTGTGTCAACGTAGAACTGTGTGCCATAGTGTTTTCATTGGCTGATTTTTTGGAAGTAGATAGCCAGGCCTTTCTTCCAAGGTACCTCTGAGTGGACTCCAACCACCAGCTTTTCAGTTAGCAGCTGAGCATGTTAACTGTCACCATTACCAGATTTCACCACCCATGGACTCCAGAATCTGCACAGAGATACTGAATTTCTAGAAGAAATCTATTTCAACAAGAGATTTTAGTTGCTTGTCTCAAGAACCACAGTAATTTAATTTCTTTTCCAAACATTAAGGAAAAGAAAAAAGCAATTGGCATCTCCTCCCCAAGGAGCAGAAATACTTCTGTGCTATTAGATATTTTGAAAAGTCATTAACTGAGACACTTTCATTTCATTTAGGCTGTCTTTGGCAGCCTTCCATGTCATAACTATAAACCTCTTAAAAACTATTAAGCCATTTGGACAAAGGAGATAGCAAAAACAACATGTATTCAAAATAACTAGCAATCTGAGAACAACTAGTTAGAAAATATAATGGATTAAAAATTGAGTTAAAAAAAAACTTAAGAAAAATATTAACTGAAAATGTGCAGATGGGAAGACTAAATGTTGTAAATAACTTAATTCTTCCAATATTAGATGATGTTGTTGTTGTTGTTATGTGCCATCAAGTCGGACCCAACTCATAGCGACCCCTCCTTGGGTTTCCGAGGCAGT